TCTCCCAGGTGCCTGGATCAGGGTGCACCTTGGCCATGTTGTAGAAATTATAATAGGAGACAGCCACATCTTTTGGATTTCGAGCAAAGTAAATCACCTGCAAGGGCAGAGGATCCATTGTTCTGGTCCCTTCTGCTGTCCTGTTACCCTTCACAGGACCCAGTGAGGTGCCATACTTTCTAGCAATGGGGACTCTCAGCACTTCTTTTGGGGATGGCAGAAGAGAACACAGGACTAGAAGTTGAGTTGTTGAGACTTCATGGTATGAGCACCACTTACTTAAGATTACACTTTTGATGCTACAGTTCTGTCTGTTCCATAAACTATATTTTATCTGACTCCTTTATTATCAACACATCCACCTAGTAGGTCAGAGTTCCATCCGCCCCTCCATCTCTGTCCTGTGAGCACCTGGACTCTGCTTCTGTAGCTCACACTGAAGAATTCATTTTCCTTGTTACCTGAGCCCTGCCAGAGTGACAGCCAGAGATCCTCCATCCAAGATGAAACCGGGCTTGAGTAGTCCCACAATTCCCAGCAGAACAGATCAAGGGTAGGATGATCCCAGGAGCCCTTGAATTCTCTCCCCTAGCCCCCCTTTTCCCCTGTGTCCCCCTGTTTCCCTTCCTCCCTCCTTTCCTTTCTTTTCCTCTGTCTTCCTGAAACAGGGTGAGATACAGCTCAGACTGGTCTTGAACTTACTGTGTAGCAAAGACTGGCCCTAAACTGATCCTTCTGCCTCTACTTCTCAAATGCTGGAAGGTACCACCATAACTGGGGTTTCTTGTTTTTCGTTTTTACCTTGATCTTCTGATCCAGCAGACTCTGAGGAAGCAAGGACAGGGGCAGATGCGTCTTAATGAGCCGTGGGGCTGGTGTCTCTTCCAAAGATTCAAGACCTACAATTGAACAAAGAACTTTGTTAAAAGGACCTACCTCTCTCCACTTGTGTCTCACACTCTGGTGATCATACCTGAGGGAACTCCTGGGCAACTGAACTCAAGGAAGGGCACTCGGGCATAGATGGGGGCCCGGCGACACTTTTCTAGCTGGCCATCCTGGTAGATCATGTCCAGTATCTCACTTACCCAGGTAGTACCTGGAAAGAAGGGAACAAGAGCTGAGGAGGAGCTGGTTGGTCTTGTTCCGTGCACACCTTTAATCCTAGCACTTGGGAGGCAGAGGCAGGTGGATCTCTGAGTTTGAGGCCAGCCTGGTCTACAGAGTGAGGTCCATTACAGGCTCCAAAGCCACACAGAGAAAGTCTGTCTCAAAAAAACAAACAGAAATTGTGGAGGTCTCAGTGTCTGGACCTGCTTGCCAAAGTAAGGTCTTCAAGACTTTAGGGGAACCACTGCTCACCAGACTTTGGGTATGTGCTGATAAGCAAGTCATCAGGCCACACTGTCATGTTCTGCAATGGCCCAATAGCCTCTGCAAAGTATTTGATGAGTGGGATGCCCTTCACAGGCACAAGTGGTGGACGGAAGAAATCCTCAATCAATTCCATGTTGCTGCATTGAGAACAGAATATAAGACTCACTTTTCCAACAAGTTCACAATACTGTGCTGAATTCTTGCTTTAAGATTGGGATCCTGAGGCTCTGGCAGGTCACTGAGGTGGCAGGTAGACCTGGGATCAGAAGCAAGTCTAACTCCAGCAAAGGTCACTACTGTGGCTACATCACTGCTCACCTGCAGAACTTTGCATGTCCCTGGTGCCCAAGCATAGTCCAGACATTAAAGCACTCTGAGGTAGAATCAATACAGGGTTTGACATTTTGGAGGAAGATTCCAGCACCTCAGGAAACTTTGAGCACTGGCCATGTGTCTCTTATACCTCCCTGGTGCAACTGGAAGGTCAGCCCATGGCACATCGGAGCCTCTCTTCAATTTTCCTCGAGCCCCACACCATCCAGACCTGATGCCTTTCTTGCTCTGAGTCAAGCATAACCAGTTTGGTTACTAAGCCTGTTTTAGGCCGGGGAGAGATTTTCTACTAAAAAGTATTCTAAAACCACCCAGGAAAGAGGGGCGGGGTGGAGGGGGATTCAGACAAGCTTTTCTGAAGTGGAGTGTGTGTTGGGGCGGGAAGAACAGAGAGGCTAGAGGCCCAGGCAGTGGTCAGACAGATTAATCAAGGTGTAGGAAGTAGCTGGCCTTGGGAGAATATTGGAACCCGTCTGTAGCCAGGCAGGGCAACGGTGGCCACCCCACTCTGCCACTCACCTGATTCTGAGTTTCTGAGCCTCTCCTCCCCGGTGCACAGTGGTGGGGATCTTTGTGTAGATGTTGCAATGTGGGAAATGCAGAATTGTCCTTGAGCTGAAGATTTTGTAGGTCCCAAGTGGGAGGGAGTGGCATCAGTACTAGGACTGACTGTTCTCCAAAATCAAGGGGTGTGGATGGGGGTGGAGATGGGGTGGAACTCTGTGGTGATGTATTGTGTATCAAATAAAGCTTGCCTGAGGAGCAGAGGACAGAGCCTGCCACTAGATTAAACACAGGCCAGGCAGTGGTGGCACACACCTTTAATCCCAGCACTTGAGATCTCATGCCTTTCCTACCAGTATTTGGGATCACAGACACCATTAATCCCTGTATAGAAAGGAGGTGAAATAGCTGGACAGAGAAAGGCAATAAGGCGTGAGGAGACAAGAGCTAGATGCTTTTTCAGCTGAGGACTCAGAGGCTTTCAATCAGAGATTCCTCAAGATAGAATCTCAACTTCTATTCAGCTTGAGGATTCGGTAGTTGTGAGAAGTTTCTCTAGGCAAGCTATAGAGCATTTCTCAGTTTTTAAGAAAACTATAAATTCATTTCTCCATGAATTATGTCTTTTTTATCTTATGGGTGGGCATTAGGATCCAATGCCAGGCCTTAGAGACATGAGATCTACTAACAGGCACGTATGGAGATTGGGATCCACTCACAAAACTTGGCATCTATGGAGAGGGGATCCACTCACAGAAGTTGGCTCCTATAGAGGGGGGATCCACTCCCTGAACTTGG